CTCTGGTCCTCAGATATTCTTTCCCCTTTTGAAGCCTTCGTTCAGACCTATATTCCTCCTTCACCCCTTTCTCTGCTCAGCTAGCCCTCCAGGGAGGAGTGGAGGTGAGGGAAGAGTGATATGTCCATCACCAAGGCACCAGTGCTTAAGAGAGAGAGCTCCCCAGAGAGGTACATCAGACCCAATATGATGTTAATATCGGCCCGGATAAATGCTACACACGACCAAAGCTGTTACTTTTGTACCTAGTTAACATAATATATATTCCCCAAGTCACAGATTAAAGGGTGTCCTCACCTGATCACATCCTTCAAGACGCAAGGTGCTATCTGGATGGTAGTGACCAATTCTTTACCTGTGAGGCAGAGCAGTCCACTCTGAAATTTACACAGAAAAAGTCTGGGTCTTCTGTGCAGGCCCTGAGACTGGGACAATCACAGCTGACGGTGTGAGAGCTCAGGCAGTGAGAAGCCAAGCTGACTCCAGGACTAAAGCAATCAAGGGCTCTTCTCTCACCAGAACCTAAGTGGGAGGTGCCACATACACAGAAGTGCTTTGGGTTCCTGAGGTTCCTGCTCAGGATGCTCTGGCACCGTCTCAAATGCACCAGCTCTCACTTAAGATGGGGAGGGACCTGGTTCCGTGGACAGTGATCAGAATGACCTCAGCTCTCCAAGAGAAACTGCTCTGCCAGCATCTCCATTATTGCTAGTCCTCACCACAGCGGCCCTTTGAAAGGCATGGAACTTCCACTTCAAAAATGTTTTTATTGACACGTGTGACCTTCTTCCCATTAAGGAAATCAGGAAGAATATATTCCTCCAACTTCCAATCAAGATGATTGATTACTTTGCAGACATGGCGCAGTCTTTTTCATTCTTTTTTTAAACTTCATCTCTATAAACTCTAATGTGGTTGTTCATTTAGAGTTTTGAATGCATTTTCTTGTCTCTATGCCACATACCACAGAGTATAAACTGACATGCAGGTCACCCAGAACTTTTATTCTGTGGAAGTGCCCATGTTGACCAATACCCACTGCAGATGTGAGCCCTTCACCTGCAGTTGTCCCTGCTGAAGTAGCAGGTGCATTCTCCAGATCATAGTGGTGATCCAGTCCCCACCCTGTCTTTGAAAACAGCATTCCCAAGACATTAATATGCCCCATATCCATCCGGCGGCAGCTGACTCTCCTGCCACAACCACACTCACACACAAAGCGGGCTCATGACCTACAACTCGGGGCATGTGTGCTGCGGCACCTCCCACCCTGGAGCAGCTGCTTCAATTGCATCAGCAGGCGGAGTCTGGGCAGTGGGAGAGGCTCAGCAGCCAGCAGCCGGTCTACCCAGTGTAGGGACCCTGGCTTCCTGCCAACCAGAGCCCCGGGGTTCTGAGTTCCCATTTACCTCATTTCCCACCTCCCAACGTTCATAAGAACTTCAGTTGTTTATTGCCATCATGAGGTTGTCTTATCCTGAATAGTTTTCTGAGCTGGTCACTATGAAATGGAGGATATTTCCTAAACTACAGCCTAGGGCAGAAAGCTCTCAATTTCTCTCACCATAGAAACAGTGTAACCAAGAATGATGAAGACACCACCATAAAACTGGTATAACCAAGGTGAAAGGCATGGCTTAAACTTAAGGGCAGACCTGGAACTACAGGGTTTGAACTCTGTCCCTATTCCAGCTCAGCATAGGCAGGTGGAAGAAAAGCCAGGTGGGCAGTGGCAAGAAAGAAAATGTGTCTTCAGATCAGAATTAGCTGAGTTCACGCACGAAATAATGTATGAAGGTAACAAACTTCGATTTGGTTACCTCCCCAACTGCCTTGGGGTCTAGCTCAGCTCTCCCACTGCTTACTCCACTGTTCTGATTGTTTTCACAATAATTCTGTCAATTCCCTCTCCATAATTCTGCAGACTGCATGGCAGGAGAGACTACTTCCCTTGCTGCCCTCCACCTTTAGCCAAGGTTATTCTTTTTTACAAAGAAGTTCCAGGCACCTAGGCCTGTCCTGACAAGTCAGAGGCAGGCCCCTAGGGAAGCATTAGAGCTCCAGGAGGGGAGATCCCTCTGAAGCCATGCCTGGGGTTAACTTCCCCCTTTTCTGATCTGCTTTACCTATTCTCTGGAATGAAGGGTGGTATCGAAGTTTTAGGGAAAGAGGGATGGGATTATATCAGTGAATCTGCCTCAGTTTAAGGACTTGAAAAACCAGACTGGGAAGATAAATAGAACAAAAAGAGAGCTCTCCCAATTTCAACAAAAATAATATCCTAAATACCTGATAAAAATTCAAAAGCATCTCTTCTGCTTCTAAGATTTCTGTTCCACCCACAGACCTGGCCCAGAATGGGAGAACTTCTCCCCTTCCAGTGACAGATGGGTAATAAATGTTCCTGGTTAGGATTGAAAAGCACACAAATCAAGTCCCCAAAGATTGATGATTGGAGATTTTGTCTATGGCTAATAGCAATTCAGTCTTGGAGTTTTAAATTTCTTTGGTTTGTTGAAATTAACTAGCTTGGGTGGTGATTAGATTACAGTAAGTCTTTGGAAGGGACATTAATTACTTCAAACCATTCAACGATATCTATTGCGCTTACAGAACATCAAAGAAGTGAAGCAGGTAGAAAAAAGGTAAAAAAACAGGTAAAAAAGTCTGCCAGTTAGACTTTTTTAAGGTATCATATAGATAGATTTGTATTGACTTCTGATGGAAAACTGCTTACACATAGCATAAATTCTCCCTAATTCTGGTCTAATAAAGCTTAAATGAAAACCAGCACAATGATTTCCTCCTCCTCAAAATGTTTCCCAAAGTATAAACTAATTTTTTTAAATTCTGCCATTTCTGTATGAATAAACTCACAAATGAATGCCATAATTATTGACTTAATCTTTTTCTCTTAAACAAATCTGTCCTCTTAAAGTTTATCTACTGTAATAGTTGAATGTTGCATGTGAAGTAAAAATTTTGTACCTAGAACATGCGGTTTGTTGGGGAAAACGTGGCACTAACAGTCACCAGACCACCTCTGCCGCGGCTGACTGTGACAGACTAATTGCGATCTCTAATGAGAAACCTGTTCCAAGAAAAAAAAAACAGAATTAGCGGTAATTGTTCTTCTGGCTAAAGCAGGAGACTGGGAACAGTATTTCAAACAACCATTTCCTTTTCCTGTCTTTATTTTTTTAATGATGTACAGCAATTGCTCAGCTAATGAAGGGATTCAGTAAATAAACTTACACATGACTTTCAACTGATTACTCTGAAATAGGGACTTTTTCATTACAGCAATTGCTCTTCAGAAATAAGACAAACCTCTTGCTCACCCTCCATGATCTAAATGTTTATTGTTAAATATAAGGGACGTCGAGTATAGGTGGGGTCTAAAACCGCATTTACCATTGATCACCATTTATTTTCATCCACAAAAAAATTAATAAATAAATAAGCAGCCAAAACTGACCTTCCTTTTTGACCATCTCTCACTCATTATTAGGCAAAGAACACAGAGCATTCTTGTACTATCAGAAACGCCAGTGAGTTTCTGCAATCTGCATTTTCCTTCCATGTGCTCATATAGAACTCAAAGAGGGGTCAGCAATAAACACAGAAAAGGTCACATAGTTTCTCAATTCTAAAATCCCCACAAACATTCAACTCTCCGGGAGGCTTGTGGTAGAAAACAAAGTACTTATACTAGCACTAGTCAACTTAAATGGTCTTTTAAAAGGTACTCACAGTTAAGTCATGGTAAGAATCACACTTGCCTCTTCACTCCCTTTGTTGTTCCAGGGTGAGTTAGAGAAACAAGCCTGCAAATACCCTGCCTTGTGATTTAGAATCACCTTAATGCAGACTTTATATTTTGGCTTCTAAGGTTTAAAGGTTAAAGGCATCATAAATTATGCATTTCCTCCTATGCCAGGCCCATAAAAGGTGCTTTCACTGTTCATTAAAGATCTTGCTACTAAAAGGGCAGAGGCTTTTGTTTTAAGTGCCGAAACGGAAATATTTCCATTATGTTTATTACTGCTACGCAGGAGAGCCAAAACAATTCAGAATTAGGAAACTGTTAGGATCTGTTGTTCCAGAATATATAGCAACTGTCACTGTGCACAGTGAAATTTTGGTTCACTCTTTGTACAACGAAACAGTGAAACATAGCTGGCCCACACGCTGTTCTCCAGGAGAACAACAGTCTGGCAAAACCCACACGGCCAGCAACAGTTGGGGCTTTCCCCTTCTCTCTCTGTGCTGTGCTACAGATCCGAACAGCGACCGGAGAGACACACGGCTCACAGGCGGGTATGGAGCAAGCTCTGAGTGTGGTGTGTTTGTATAAACTGCGCATTGGCACGTGTCCTTCCTCGCTGACACTCGGACTTCCTCACTTATGTTTTACCACCCCTCCAGCTAAAGCCAATTCTAAGAGATTCTTTTTTTCATCTTTATTGTATTTATTCCCATTACCATGTAATCCCTTTATCCCCCACCCCCTGCCCCCCAGCAATCACCCCAGTGTGTCCATCTAAGAGATTCTTATTTTCCTTCCACACTTACATGTACCGCATCTGCAGAGGCTGGGCTCTTTTTTTCCCAAGGAGCACCACACCCATTCATCTTCTAGCCTTCGGGAGCACAACGCAGATTTGGCTGGACCTGCCTCTCTCCGATCTCAGGCCCAAGGTACCAAAACTGGACACACAGCACCCAACTTGAGTCAGGCTTTGACCGCCCCCAGCTCGGCATTTTGTCTGGCTTGAGGGAGAATTCTGGAGACAGGCTGCTTGCTATAAGCACCAGAGTTCCAGAGATTTTTTTCCAGGGGACAGCCCGTATACCCTGACAACTAAATGACAAAGTTATCTCTTCCTCTTCTACAGCAATGCCCTTTCTTCTCCATCAGAACACACACACACACACGTACATACACGCACGCGCGCACACAGGCACACACAACTCACAGCCTTGCTTCCTCAACTTACCAGTTTAGACTTGGCGCGTTGCAAAAATTCTTCCATATCGCTGCGAGAGGTTTACCCGGAAGGGTGCAGAGGAAGATCTCGGTCGGGAGAGAGGAGCGGAATCTCCGGGTAGTGGCCGCCTGGGGCGCAGCGACCAGCTGCTCCTTCCTGCCGCTCGGAGGCGGCAGAGGCTCCGCTTGTCCCCTCCGCCGCGGCGTCCCAGGGCTCCCAGCCCCACCCCTGAGCTCCACCGCCTGCTCCGAGCAGGACTCTGCCCTATTAAGGAAAGTGGGTGTGCCTGCGAGAGACCCGAGGCGCGCCCCGCCAGCCCGCTGGCACGCGCCTACGGGGCCGGAGCTCACCACCAGGACCCGGGGGCGGGTGTGTTGGGGGATGGCCAGGGGCACCTCGGCCAATCGCAGGGCCCTGCTGCGGCCTCCTGACGTGGTGCGCCTAAAGCTGCTGCAACCATGGACAGCGCCCAGAAGTGCGAGCCAAGTGAAAGGGGCTGCTGCAGAGGGAAGCTCTGCTGCAGGCACTCTATCAGCCGGGGGAAGGTGGGAAGAGAAAGAGTGGGGAAAGAGGTCCCCTAGAGAGACCCCCTCCTTAGCCAGCAACCCCTTGGCTAGCTGGCAGGTTAAAGAGCGCTCCAGCGGTCACCTAATGAGCTGGTTCTGCTGGCCTAGCCAAGGGATGCACTCAGCTAGATGGGGGCGGGGGAGGGAGCAACGAAGGGGGGGGTGACTGTTACTGCTGAGCTAAAAGCAGTATAACCTTGATGGAAAATAATCAGAAGAGCAGGCTGGAAGGTTGTGCAAGGTTGCATCCATCCTCCTTGGCCTCAAAACATACCCACCCAGCAAAGGGTATCTGCAGTTCACTCTAACTAGATCCCTGTGTGTTGGCCCTGGGGCTGATGCACAGATACGTCCCTCTGCAGTCTGCACCACTCTCTGGCATGTTCGTTCCGGGGAAGCTGGGGCAGTAGCACCTTCCTACTGCACAGGGGTCTGTGTTTCTACAAGATTCCCAGATGATTTCTATGTGCCTTAAAGTTTAATTACTGCAATATGCGCTTAAATATATAGCTGTGGACCTTATAAACCATAGAGTTTTGTTGTGTGTGCTCTCTAGGGTTATCATTTCACTAGATATACCACTTCAGGCTTTCTCTTACATCTAGGCCTTTGCACATCTGCCTATAACAGCCTTTTTGCCCTGTCCCCGGCCCACACTGCTTGGATAACACAAGTTTCAGTTGCCAGCTTAGCGAAGTGGTCTCAACCTTGACTGCACCTTAAACTTATATCATAACCACCTGGGGCTTTGACAATACTGGTTCCCAGACCAACTGAATCTGTACCTCTAAGGGTGGGGCCACAGCATCAGTCAGGTGTGAAAGTGCTCCAAGTGATTCCAATGTGCAGCCCAGGTATGATCCTCTGGTTCTCAAACTTTAGGATGTATCTGGACCACGTAGAGGTCTATTAAAACAAAGATTTCTGTGACTTAACTCCAGAATTCCAGGATTAATAGGTTTGTCTTAATGGGCCTGAGAATTTCCATTTTTAACAGTCTCCCTGGGTTTGCTGATATTTCTGATCCAGGTGCCACTCTTTGAAAATGGCTGGCTTACAAGTTGTCTTCTTCCAGGAAACCTCTGATATACTCCTCCCTTCCCCCCCCCCAGGCCCCTTCCATGTTCTGTCATAGCAACCTATACTTTCTACTCTACAGTCAAGTGCCTTATTATTTGCCTGTGTTCTCGATCAGGCTGTAAGTTTCATGAGAATAAGGACTTGTCTGCCTGATTCATTAATGTATCCCTAATACAATTCATGTCATATACAGATCCTCAGTAAATATACTTTAATAAACAAATTTATGTATGGAAGGGTTTTTTTTTTTGTTCTCTCTTGCTCTCTCTCTAGTGTGTGTATACATGAGACAGTGGTGGAGGCGGAGAGAGAAAGAATGACAGAGTGATTATCCAATTATTTTTTATCCAGTAGAATCCAGTGAAAAGAATCTGCAGTCTGGAGACCTGATTAAAGAGGGCAATAGGAGCATTAAGCTGCCGTTTGCATTCAGGTGCTGAGCTGTGTGGAAGCAGAAGATTCTATCTGTTTCTTTGCTGACTTAAGTAGTTTAAAATCGTGCAGGTAACTAGTGTTTTATCAGCCTTTAAATCTATGAGTGATTACAATTCAAGTAACTTTCCTGAGAAAAATTCCCAAGAATCCCTTGCCTCTGACTCTATTGGGGACTTAGGGACAATCACGCAAATACTGTTTTATTCCTCTGACTTTTGATTTTCAGCATGCTGGGTAAGTCTTATGCAACACTGAGATTTCCTAAGGTGTTTGTTGTGGGTTTTTTTTCCCTAATGGATTCAAATTCCAACATCCATTGCTTGGAGTTTTTCTCCACTGACAATGTCCTTGAAAACATTTCTCAAGATTTACCTCCCCCATGAAACCTTGAGGACCTGGCCATCTATACTACAAAAGTTTCTTGAGGTTGCTGTAGCAAATTATCACAAACTCAGTGGCTTAAAGCCACAGGAATTTATTATCTTTCAATTCCGCAGGTCAGATGTCTGCCACCAGGAGAATTTTAGTTGTCAGCAGGGCTGCAATCCTTCCTGGAGATTCTAGGGGGAAATCCTCTTTTTTTTTTTCCTTCTCCAGCTTCTAGAAGTATCCCACATTCCTCCAGTCATGTTGCCTTCCTCCATCTTCAAAACCAACAATACTGCATATCTCTGGCTATTCTTCTCTAGTCACATTCCCCCCTCACTCTCTTCTTCTACCTTCCCCTTCCACTGTTTAAGGACCCTTGTGATTACATGGTCCTACTTGGGTAACCCAGGAATATCTCCCCCTTTTTAAAGTCAGATGATTAGCCACCTAAATTCCCCTCTGCTGTGTAACCTAACAGATTCCCATCCTGAGGGTTAGGATGCAGACTCTTTGAGAAGCTAATATTCAAGATACCACACAATCCACACCCCAAATTATTTAATAGCTACCAGGTTTCAATTGTCAATTTCTTACATTCTGTAGCAGCCAGAAATTTAGTGCCTTTAACTCTAGATTAGAAATCATCAATCCTGGCTACACAATGGAATCACCCAGGAAGCTTTAAAAAATGATGATGTTGTAGATGAAAAAGGGCCACATATTAAACCTGACAAGCTCCAGGGAAGCCTGCAAGGAGACCCCTACAAACTCAGAGACTGAAAGTAACCACATAGGACGGTCTGAACATACGAATTCCTAACTAAAAGGGAGTCGTTGAAGATAGTCATGCCCTAGGCCTGTAACTTCCTTGACAAAGGTCAATATTTACCTTAAGTAAGTCTGTCCCTTTTTGCATCTAAAATAACTAACATACCTTTGAAATGTCAGATGAATTTCCTTTTCCAAATCCCACAGGGTATACCCACCAGAGCTTAGAGACCACAGAACCTCTCATTGTTATCTTGTTCCCCACATACCACCTCTATGGCATGTAAATGACAATTAGTAACTATCTTGTACCCAATGTAAAAGAGGTATGTGTTTCTCCATGAGGATGCAGTGAGAAATGGCTGCCAACACATGGAAAGAAGGTCCTACTCAGTTTACGGAATTTCAGATAGCAGCCCAAGCAGACTAATGCAATGAGAGTGCTGGAAAAAGCAAGACTTTAGGGCTCAGTCTAATTCCATCTCCTTATTTTATTGCATGGTACCAAAGACCGATTCAACATCCTCCTTGGGCTAAGAGAGCTGCTTAGAAGCAGAGCCAGGACTGGAACTCAGTTCTCCGTCACTCATTCATTTATGGATCGTCGGCTGTGCCCAAGTAGGCATTCTGCCAAACCTAAAATGTGCAAGGCTCTTAAGTGGCTCATGGTCTAGTCACTCTAACACAAAGAGATACATTTGGTGATTGAAAAAAAACACCTGGTATTGTACTAGTTGAGACACAATATGGTATCATGACTGTAATGTGGGATCTCATCCTAGCTATGGAAGACTAAACATGGCTGCAAATTCTTTGACACTCCTCCCAATGAGACATCAGGTCTACATTCCTTCTCCTTGAATCTAGAAAAGCTCTGGGACTTCCTGACCAATAAAAGAAAGCAGAAGTGACACCATGACACTTCTGAAACCAGGCCTTAAGAGAATAACAGATTTTACTTCTTGTATTTTGGAATGAACACTCTTGGAACCTAGCCTTCAAGCCATGAGGAAGCCCAAGCAACCATGTGGAGAGGCCCACATGGAGAAGAACTAAGAATTCTGTCTAGTAGCCATCATAAAAATAGATTCTGTACCTCCAGTCAAACCACTGTAGCTGATGCCATGTGAAAGAGAGTTACGCTGTCTCTGCTGAGTCCTTCCTACAAAATTCTTGACTCAGAAGAATAGTGAGGTACAAGAAACTGATTGTTATAGCCAATAAATTTGTGGGTAATTTGTTATGCAGCAATATGTAACCAGAACACCTGGATATTGACAAGCTATGAAACTTTGGGAAAGTTATCTTCTCTAAGTGTCACTATCTGCATCTATAAAATAGGAATAATCTTCCCTTTTAGGATTGCTGTGAAAATTAAAGCAATAACAAAGGGTCCAATTCATGGTCTACAGCTGCCATTATTGTCATGACAAAGAGTCTAGAAATGGACATAAGGGTCTCCATAAAGCGAACTCAACAAGAGGGGAATCCCTAGGGCAGTTGTGAAAATATCAACAGTCACAAAAATTGTGAAATTGTTACATTATAGGTATTATAGCCCTGGCTGGTGTGCCTCAGTGGATCGAGTGCTGGCTTGAGAACCAAAGAGTTGTCGGTTCGATTCCCAGTCAGGGCACATGTTTGGGTTGCAGGCCAGATCCCTCACTCACCTGAGCGAGAGGCAACCACTCATTGATGTTTCCTTCCTTCTCTTTCTTCCTCCCTTCCCTTCTCTAAAAATAAATAAATAAAATATTTAAAAAATAAACAAACAGGTATTATATCTAGGTATAATATTATGTTTATAATATCATAGAGAATATTATAATTTGAGGCTAACATATACCAAGCAACATTTTCTAAAGTTACCCTCATTTGGAAACC